TGAACATCCCCTTCAATCTCTGCCGGCGTTCATCACCAAGATGGCCGCCGGAAGGCATCAACCAAATGGTCGCGCATGTGCGAGATGACGTCACACGCACCCGAGATGATGTCATGGTGGGGTGTCACCCGGCCTCGCGACGCCCCTGCTTATGCTGCCAGATGTACCTGCCCTCCTCTCTCTCCCAACGGCAGTTAAGTACGCGTGACATCATTAAATGCGTGCGCGTGGTGATGTAATGCGCAATGACGTCACACACGTGCATGATGATGTCCCAGCGGGTGATACCCCCGGCGACCACACCGGGTGACACCCAGCCTGGGGACGCCTCTGCTGAATTTGACTTGGTATCAACTTCTTGCAGGCACTGTACAACAGAGCTGAACTGTGTGATGAAGGAGCAACACAAGGAGCCAATCCGTTGTGCTGCAGTGCAAAAAACGTGCTGGTAGGAGGAGAGAGCAGAGTGACAAAGAGATTAGCTCATTATCAGCTGCTTCTCCTTTCACTGATCATTCACTGACTGGGAGAAGACCAAGACCTGCTGAACTGCAGCAGAGAAAAATCAGGTGTCCTGCGCTTCCAGATACAGCTGTGCTCTTAGGCAGAGCTCTGTAAAGCTCAGGACTGGATGGACAGAAATCCAAATCCTTTGGCAGTTAGAATGGCGCCCATATATATATTTCATCTCTGTGTTTAGCTGTTGCCTGGAGTTTAGGTTTAAGACAACAATGGACCCCCTCAGCAGTTTACCTCCATACCTGTAGATCCACACAATACACACCCTGCAGAACGTGTGATGGATTCGGCAGATGGTGGGAAAAGCGGATCTGGATGGGTTGATTATTTATAAACTCTGACAGATCCAGGAACTGTCTGAAGAGATAAAGAGGAAGTATGTCACTGAACAGAACCATCATATGACTCGCCGTGGCCGGAGATCACATCCTGAGCCCTATTTATCTTCTTCAGTTTGCTCAGCAGGGATCCTCTATTAAATGGCAATCAATATTTATTGTGGGAGCACTCCGTACACTGAAACAGATGACTGGCTAGCTGTAGATTAAACAGTGAAACAAAAGCACTTCGGCATCCACCTCGAAGGCAAACAGAGCTTTATGTAAGAGCAGTTCCCATGAATGAGGGAACAGGCAGCTGCTAAATGAACCGTGCCTTCAGGTACAGCCACGGCTCATGGACGGTGAATGCCATGATTGCCCAACATCATACTAGGTAATATAAAGTGTGTATCTTGTAGAAAGTGTATGTTCTGTTCTGCTGCTTCTTTATTACTTCACCGTTAAGATTTTCAGCTCCACTAGTCATAGAGTCACCAGCACATTGCAAAGAAAACTCAAAACTAAGAGCAAAATTAGTGTGAACCCAAATAACCTTATATCACCCATATCCACTGCACCCCCCTATCCCTATTATAAAAATAAAAGTTAGGCATACACTGGTTAGGCCTATTTTCTCTGAAATATATACACTGTGTGTGTACATATATATATATATATATATATATATATTGTGAGGATTAGCTTCAAATGGTAGCACATTCAGGACACTTCCACTCGTAAACAACTTCTTTTTAGGGCTTCCTGCCCACTTTTATTTGAACATTCACATACGTTTTTACATCACAGGGGTTTCTTCAACAGGTTAAACACAAAGTTCGGCTTTTCCCTTCAGCAATATAACATTTTCCAACGTCTCACAGACTTCAGGTTGTCCTTTTTAACAAAACCTTTGCCACAAAGGCTGTATCAAACACACTTGCCACACAGGCTCGTCCTTGTCCCCTGGCCACACAGGCTGGTTT